CAGCACAGCCGGAAGATTCCCCTTATTTATTCCTTTCTGCCATGTGTTCGCACCTACAAAGCTAAAATACTTCTTGTAGCAGGTCTTTCTTTGGTTATCTTTTAGTTTTGCTCCTGATACCGGTAGTGAATTCCTGTAGAACACAGAAAGTGTGCAGGATAAGGAATGCACCAATATGTCATCATCTGGCACAGGAAGCAGCAGGGCAGGACCTGGAAGAGATTCACAGTTGGGGACGAGATTCAAATGACATTTCTGAGCTTGACGCATGACGCGTGCAGAAATTAGTCCAGCACTGTGCTGCCAAGCACCCCAGCTCTGCTTGGGCTGCCGCCTAATGCTGAACACAAATGCACTCTGCAGGTACTTCATTTCTCTTTGCCCGAGAGATGCGATCTGCACCTGCATGTGCCCACATCAGTCCTGTGGGAGAACTCAAGTCCACCCGGACTCCTGAGCCTCTGGATCTCCAGAGATGTTCTGTTAGGTCCTTGGAGCATATTTCATCCGCACTTGCATGTGTTTCTCCACCTGCAGTGGTTCAGGGTGGTACCCACTCTTATCGTAATACTCCAGTTGATGGAGCACTCTCCTGGCATATCGACGGTCTTGGGTTTACTTCTCAGTCTGTTTTGCAAGGGTGAGGGGTTGGATCCACATCTTCCTGATTTCAGAAGAGCCAGAGCCATGAACAAGGAGCAGCATTGGGTCTGGGAAGCAGGTTTCCTTGAGGCTGTTATGAAGGCGCTGTGTCTCTTGGCTGCTGAATCCACTCCATGAGAGATGAGCCTTCCCAAATGCAGATAAAGTGACAGCCACGTCATGAAGGAAATGACAAGAATTCCCTTCATGAAGGAAATTCAAGAACTCACAAGAATTGCCTTTGGACCAGATGTCACAGTGGCAGTGGCTCCCGAAACACGGGGTTGTCTGTGGTGCTTGCTGATGGAAGGGATCAAGCCTTGGAAATGGCATAGCACACAGGGAACTGACATTAGTGGACTCCAGTATGCACATGCCAGCTACGTGGAACCGGGCTGGCTTGTAGCTGCGTAACTACATAGAGACCTGCCAGCCAGCCTCTGCACAGGCAAAGCTCAGCCTGTCCTCCCTCAGTTCTTCCCTGCCTTCCTGCTGCTCTCTGCAAGCATTCTCAACCTTTGAATAGAGCTGATCCTACAGTTCTCTGAGCATGCCCTTTCTCTGTAAAATTCAAACGTCTCCTCCTCTGAAAATAACCTCTCCCCAGTTGCTCATTATCTGCCTGTGAATGCTGGAGATACCACTCAATATCCTGCCGTTTTATTGGCAGGTAAATAGTTCCGGGTTCCTGGGCCGTTAATTGGAACACCCTCATTCGGCCCTTTTGGACCAACTGTGCTAAATTTTCTATTTTCTGTTGAATAGTAGTTTTGGGCCAGACAGCAGTAAAAAGCCACTCCAATATCTTCACCTCCTCCCCCCTTTTCTTTTTGCACTGTGTCAGTGCACCCAAGAGTTGCTTACGGCCTTGTAGTATTGTAAGTTCTACGGGAAGGTCTGGGTCTCTACGGTCGACCCATCTCTGTACGATTTGTGTGCTGATGCGCTGAATGGTTAGCCGCTGTTCCGACGTGGGTCGCACCGGTCGTGCTGGGTCGGTGCCTTGCAACAGGGGTCTCAAAGTGTTAGCATCATCGTTTGAAATGCCCGCAACAGGAGGCAGCCATTGTATATCTCCAGGTAAGCTCTGTGCGTCATGTAGGGTTGAAATTTGAATGTGAAGTTGCAGCTTCTGTGGTCGTACCTGGCCCTCTGTAATATGCCAACCTAAATATTTCCAAGCAGGGCCGCGCTGAATTTTCTCAGCCGCGATAACAAGTCCTTGTTTGCTCAGTTCCTGCTCCAGTAGTGTCTCTTGGTCCGTGGTGAAGGGTTGATTTTGGGCAAATAGAATATCGTCCATGTAATGATAAATTAATGTTCCTGGCCATATCCGGCGAAGGGGCTGGAGCGCATTGGCCACAAACAGTTGACACAGGGCAGGGCTATTTTTCATGCCCTGTGGCAGTACAATCCATTCAAAACGGCGAAAAGGTGCTGCTTTATTTGGCATTGGCAAGGTGAGAGCGAATCGTGCGGTATCTAGTGGATGCAGCTTAATTGTGAAAAAACAGTCTTTAAGATCAATAACCAGCAGGTGCCAACCCTCTGGGAGCATAGCAGGGTTGGGCAATCCTGGTTGCAAGGCACCCATCGCTTGTATCTGTGCATTCACAGCTCTCAAGTCCTGTAGCAGTCTATATTTTCCTGATTTCTTTTTTATAACAAAAATTGCCGTATTCCAGGGGCTCATGGAAGGTCGTAGATGTCCCTGTTGTAATTGTTCCTGCACTAAAAGCTGCGCTTGCTCTAGACTTTCCTTTTTCAGCGGCCACTGCTCGACCCACACCGGAGTGTTAGTAGTCCATGTGAGCTGGATCGGGAAAGTCCATTGTGCAGCGACCGCTCCTAAAAATGCTGGTTAGTCAGCACCAGTCCCAGCTGGTCTAGCACATCTCGGCCGATTAGGGCATTCACCCCAGTGGGCAACGGCATAATGGTTGCATAGATAGAAGCAACCTGACCTTCGACGGCCACCTGTATTAAATCAGAGCTGCGTTGCACAGAAGCAGTACCACCAATGCCTTCAACCCCGCCAAGGGTGGGGTGGCACGGCCACCAGTGTGGCCACTTGTCAGTGTTTATTATGGTGATATCTGCTCCAGTGTCCAGTAATGCCGGTAAATTTAGACGCTCGTTCCCTCGAGACCATGTGGAGTCCACTACGGGTCTGGTGGTCATTGGGACAGTTAGCATAACAAGGCCTCCCGTGGAGCCAAATCCTTGGGACCCACGCTTGGCCAATGAACCAGTATCTTGCATTGCAGCAGTTAATTGTGGCAAGGGGACTAGCTGGGCAATCTTGCTCCCTACAGGGATATGAATCGGAGGAAATGGTGTTTGAGCTACAATGCAAATTTCTCCAGTAAAGTCTGCATCAATCAGTCCAGGTAATATAAACAGACCCTTCGGTCCACTGGAGGATCGCCCAAGCAGCAGTGCTCCATGGGCTTGTCCATTTATCATTAGTGGTCCCCGTACTGCTGTGGGGATCTTACACGGCCGTTGGTCAATGAGGGTCGCATCTACTGCGGTTGCCAGGTCCAAGCCGAGGCTCCCTCTAGTAGCGGGCTGCAGGTCGGCTGCGGGCCGCAGCTCCCGGCTGATGGTGTCGCGCTTGGCGCTGGCCACTGGGCGGCAGCCGATGGTGTCGCACTTGGCGCTGGCCACTGGGTGGCGGCCTGAGCAGGGGCCGCAATTGTTATCTGCGCGCGGCGGCCATTCGCGCTCATCTGTCCGTTTCCCGAGCAGCTGCAGGCTTCTGTGCTGTGGCTGTTTCGGTGACAATTAGAGCACCAAACAGTCCTTCTGCAGTACCGTTTCAAATGTCTTCCGCCACATCTGTAGCAACGAATCTGCGGCTTGCATTCACGTCTTGGTTGTGCCGGCACTCCGTTGTTGGACCGGAGAGGACCCAGCGCTGCAAAAGCCTGTACCTGAGCCTGCGCTGCCTCCCTCTGTGCCTGAGCCATCTCTTTTCCCATTTCCCTAACAGTTTCTACAAGTAGTGCCTGAGCTCCTACTGGCACCCTGCTCATGCGTTCTAACATAAGTTCTGTGGTGGCATCTGCGGGTAGGGTGACTAAAATACCTTTTGTATAAGTGTTGCTATTTTCCATGACACACTGGCGCAGCAGCGGACCCCTCACATAAGCTGGAGTATCCGCTAAACCGATGGCTGTGGTTAGTCTATCCGCAAAATCAGCAAATGTTTCATCTTTTCCCTGTTTACTGAGCATGTAGGAGGGGGTGGGGGGCGCCGTGCGCACTCTCTGCATGGCTTGCCGGGCAGTACGCGTGGATTCCAGACAGACGCCTGGCCCCATTTGCACTTGAATGTCTGCACTAGCAAGTCGCCCAGTTCCCATCAATTGTTCTGTTGTAACGCCAAACAACGGGTCGGTTTGGCCTCTGGGCAGGTTTGATGATCTATCACAGAGCTGTTGCCAATGCGCCTGCCACAATAGCTGCTGCGCTTGTGTCATGATCATTCTAATTATTCCCTTAATATCTTCAGGGCATAAAACTGTACCGCTCCAAATATAACCTAACATCTGTTTAGTGGGCTCACCGTGCAATCCTGATTCATTCACCCTACTTCGTAACTGAGTTAAAAATTTCCAATCTAGGGCATAATGGGTTCCCTGTGTTCCTCCCAGTCCATCTGGTTCGTACCGGACTGGGAAGGCTCGCAGGTCTTCCAGATCTCTCGTTAGGGCGTAGTCTTTATTTTCTACTGCGTGTTTCAAAATGGCGCCCCAATCGATCCGGCACCGAGGCACCGCCCTCTTTCTTTCGGATTCCTCGACATTTATCATGCGTATGCCTTCTAACACACTCTCTCTGTCCTTTTCAAAGTCCCTGCTCTCGGAATCCCTCTGCTTTTCAGAGCTCGACTTGGGGGGGGGGGGGGGCAGGGAGTTGCGCATCCTCCGCTGCACCTTCTGATGAGGAGGAAGGGGGAGAAAGGGAGGGGGAAAAACCCTGCGCTCCGAGCACAGGGAGCGCCCCGCAAGTTGGGGGAAACGAGTTATAATCTTCCCCCGGCCTTAACCGACCGGGGACGTCTGTTCCTAGTTTCTCTGTTGCTACAGCGGCGATTTTCTTTTCCGCCTTGTATTTTTTTATGCAATTTAAGGCTTACCAAATTTCCTTGCCGTTTTATCATCATCAAGCATCGAGTCAAATAACTCATCACCAAACTTTCGCCACTCACTCTCCTCAAATACTGTATTAGGAGCTACAAAAAGTCCCTTAGCCTCCCCTACAGAAGGGGATAACTGCTTCAGTTTTCTGAGAGGGATATGTACAGTGTAAGTTAATATTCAGGGATCTTTCTACGGTGCCTAGAAAGAGAAATGCACATTGGAGGAGGGATTCCAGAGTCCACGGGCACGCAGATCACCAGCCCTGGGACAGAGCCGGAGTCCACCGTCCCTCAGGCCACCATCTCAGGGGAGCGGCTCAGCACACAGCTTCACCGGGCTGGCCCCCTGGCAGCAGGGACTCTCTTGCCGACAGCCCAGGGATTTGAGATCCCACTCGATGCTGATCCCAGGGCCACGTCCCACGTGCAAGAGCTGGCCTTGCCCTCGAGCTCCAGCAGTGCCTACCACAATGCCTATAAGTGCTACGTGGAGACGGTGGAGGCTCTCAAGCTGATTGGACAGCTGAGACACCTCTACGCTGCCCTGAAGGAGCAGGTGGCCCAGATAGAAGCCACCAGGTTGGAGCAGACTGAAATGGAGAAGCTGCGTCTGCTCCTCCAGGAGGGAGGTGGGAGCTCTGGCTGGGAGGCTTGGGGAGGGGGTGTTTGAAATGCTGGGTCTGCAGCTGGTAGGGAGATGGCAGAGTGGGGAACTTGGGAGGGGGCTGCCAGAACCATGCCCGGCTGTTTGTGCTTCGATGTTGTGTGGGGGAGTTCCTTGCTGCCCCCCATATTGTCTTGTAAAGTCTGCAGCATAGAGGGAGATTCAGGCCGTGCTGCAAATGCCCTGCTGGCACTGAGAGCCTATGGCCACTGGCCCAGTAAGCCAGGTCTGTCCCCGTGGGGCAGCCTCCCCACCTTGCCTGGCACTACCTTGTTACTTTCCTCCCTGGAGCAGGACCAGGACCAGGAGGTGCTGAAGCGCATCCAGGCTGCCATCCTGCAGATGCAAGGGGAGTATGAAAAGCTCAACTCTGTCATGGGGAGCCTCCTGGATGACAGTCGCCAGCAGCAGAAAGATATCGAGGTAGATGGCTGAAAGCCCCATGGGCTTAGGGCATCCTCCAGGCAGAACCCAGGCTGAGGACCACAGGCGATTTGCCCTGTGGAGATTAAGAGTACCTTTCCCAGAGGATTCTTGCGGGGAGTAGAAGCAGGGGTGCTCCTGCCACGATGTCATAGGATGCTTTCTGTGTTGGAAGGGTCTGTTGCGGTCCATAGAGAGGCTGGAGAAGGAGAAGGCAGACAAGGACGACCTGGAGCTGGGAATGGATGAGGTACAACCTCAAAGGGCCTAAGCAGCAGCCAGGGGGGTCCTGGGCAGGGAGACAAATGCCCCTTCTTCCCTGGGAGGTTGGTGGGAGAGCTGGCCCGGGGAAGGGAGGATTTCTAGCCCAGCTGCAGGTCCCTCCGTCTCCCCCCATGTCCCTTGGGCTGGTAGGACCGACCCCCTGGGGGTGTGACGGGGCGAGTGGGGCCACACAGCCGTGGGAGGAACACAGTGGTCCTGCAGGAGTGCTTTTGCCTCTGCCCCTGCAATGAGCTGACCCTGGCTGTTGCACCTCCATCCTTTCCCCACCGTTCTCCTGCCTTTCCCTGTTGCTAGAAAGCAGACAAAGACGCCTTGGAAAGCAAAGTCAGCCGCACCCAATTTGAGGCGAGCCTGGAGCTGCTGAACAAGAGAAACCAGGAGGTGCTGAGCCGGGTGACAGGCCAGGAGCAGGGGCTGCACGAGGTCCAGCAGCAGCTGCGGGAGGAGATGGCCTCCAAGGTGAGGGGCGGCTCATCACCGCTGGGCAAAAATGGCACCTTCGGGGCTTGGTGGCCCAAGGCAGCATCCTCCTGAGGATTCCTGCTCCTGGCTTTTCTGTGAGGATGCAGCGTCCCATCCCGGGGCGGCTGGCTGAGGGAGTGTGTCTGTCTGCAGCTGGATCGCCTGGAGCTGGGGCCATTCCAGCAACAGCTGGATGAATGCTGGAAGGGCAGCCTCGAGCAGCTCAAGGAAATGGCACCACCAATGGAAACTGACGATGCAGCTGGGATTAGGAAGTGAGTGCAATAGGGACAGCACTCACCTTGTTCCCGCCTTGTCCTTGCCTGCATCCCCTGTTCCCACGGTGCTCTGGGTGCCTGTGGCAGTGGTTCCCATGGCTTTGGAGGTTCTTGGGCGCTCCCCTCTGCGGATACTCCTGTGCCTAAGATGAGGTGGAGCTTTTTCCCAGGCGGGAGCCCACAACCAACCACTCTCCCTCCTCCTATCCCCTTTCTTCTGTAACCAGCCAGCAGGCTGGGACCTTGTTGGTGTTGGGGGGGATAAACCAGGCTCAAAACCGGGTTTCCCAACTCACCCGGCCCTTTCTCCCCTCCCCAGGCAGCTGCTGGTGGATTTCCAGTGCCTGTCTTGTGACAGGCAACTCAGCATGCGGATGCCTGGCTCGTGAGTACCACCCAGCACAGGCGCATCAGGAGTCTGCATGGGTGGGATGGGGGGAGGTGGGTGCTGGTGGTGCTCCAGACGAGGCATGGGGTTCGTGGTGTCTGCCTGCGAGGGTCCGATCGTGCCCAGCACCCTCCACAGGCCTGCCCGTCAGCGGGAGGATTAGGACCCCTCCCTGAGGGCAGCAGGCAGGGGATGCCGTGAGGTACAAGCCTGTGGCGGTTGGGGTGCTGCCACGAGCCCGGGTGGGTCATTTGTCCCCTATCACCCGCTGATGGCTCTTGCCCTCCCCAGGCCTATCCCGCCCATCCCGTCCTTTCCACCGCTGGTCCCTCACGTCACTGGGCAGTCCCACCCCATTCGGAAGACGGAGGAAATCCACAGGTAGGGGACACGAACCCATCCCCATCCCTGGGGTGCACGATGGCCCTGCCCCAGCAAGGGAGAGTCCTTCCCTGCGTCGGGGTAAAGGGCTCTGCTCCCTGGGCAGGGCAGGGGAGCAGAGATGTGCCACAGAGGCTCAGCTGTGCTTGCCCCAGGCCTGGGGCTTTTACAGCCTGGCCAATGTGCTGCCCCGCCTCTCTCTCAGTGGCGCTGAAGCCGCATGTGCTGAGTTGTGTGTTGAGTGTTCCCATACCCTATCCTGCAGGGAGCAGATGGCTGCATGCCGGTACCCCACCGTGCCACGGCAGTGTGGGGGCCAGCGTACCCTCACACACCCGCTGCAGCGCAGCCTGCGCCTCCAGCCGGTCCACCCCAGCACCCCACAGACACTCCAGCCACCCACCCTGCTCCCCAGCAAGGTAGAGATGAAGAAAGAAGGGATCTGGTGCGGGTGACTGAGGTTGGGAGGGTGATGCTGTGTAACGTTATCTAGGTGCCTGCTCTGGAAAACATCTCCAGCATACTGTGTGATACTGTGTGAATATAATATAATATAATATAGTATAATATAATGTAATATAATATAATATAATATAATATAGAGGCAGAGAGTTGACCAATGTACAGGGGGGTTGTACAGGGGGGTTGTACAGGGGGGTTGTACAAGGGGGTTAGAGGAGTTTCCTTGCTTAAACAAAAGTATTGTCTGTTGTAAATGCCTGCTAAGCAGAACAAAGGCACGTGGTCCTATTGGTAAGGAAAAGCAGACACTTGGTCCTATTGATAAGCAGCTATTGATAAGGAAATGCAGACATTTGATCCTATTGATAAGCAGCTATTGATAAGGAAAAGCAGAGGCCTGAATCTACTGATAAGGGGGAGAAGCAGATGGTTTATGGCTGGGATACCGACCAAACCCTAAGGCCATATGTGAAGACTGAAAGGTGAAAAGTGCAAGAAGAGGAAGACTCATTTACTTCATCTTGAAGACCCCTACCCACAGGAGGAAGACTCATTTACTTCATCTTGAGACCCCTGCCCATGACCAGAGGGGGCACTGCGCAGGTGCAGAGGACCTTCTGGCTCATTATTAATACGAAGTGGGGATAGGACATGAATATGTCTAGGCGTGTTGTGCAACCTTACGAATATATATATAACTTTAGAGAATAAATGTAGAGGGAAACAACACTGAGGTACGCATGACTTTGAGGAATTATCCCCGTGCGTCCCAGCGCTGAATAAAAAGCATACCTACTTTACAACTTTAACGAGTTGTGGAGTCAATCCGCGCATCAATTTGGCGAGCCAGGCAGGAGGTCTCTGTTCGGCTGCAGGATCGGCTGAAGGGCGGACATCCTAGGCGCCCCAGGCCGCTTGCCTGGAGGAGCTCTGCTCCTCGTCCGCTCACTGCAAGGACAGACAACAAGGAAACTTAGGGGGCCGCTTGCCTAAGGCGCGAGGAGCTCTGCGCACTAGTTCCCCTAGGCAGGTAGGGCTTGCAAGCAGGGGACTCGCCGACCGGTAGAGCGGCCGCTAGCGATCCTGAGGGTGGATCGGGTGAGTTCGGGCTCAGGAAGGATCTGCTAATGACCGTAGTGGAAGCAGGTGAAGGGGTAGGCGAACCCACCAGGTCTCCGCTGCATCTCAAATTCTGGGAACCAGGACAGACCTGCTACCATAAGAAGCAAGAGAAGGGTAAGGCGGAACCACGGTGTGAGTGTGTGGGATCCCATGTGTGTTTGTGTTTCTTATGATCTAACAACAGGGGAACTGATCTGCAGAACCCAGAGATATTATTTTACGGAACCCCTGAGAATATCATAAAACTTGTGTGTAGGTGCTCTCATTTTTAAGTGCATTTGCAGAGCACTAGGAAAGAGAAGCTATAGATTTGTAAAAGATTGTTTGAAATGGGAGCCGGTCGAAATAAGGGAACTCTGAAGAAAAGCCCATTGGGTTACATTTTGGCACATTGGAAAGAACTGGGAGGGTCTTGTGGGGGTTCGGTAAACAAGAAAACGTTGATAAAATGTTGTAACCAATATCTGTTTTAGTTAGACTGTTGCCAACTTAAAAGTTAAAATTCTCCATTCCTGTAATTTTGCATGATGTCCACCCCTGTTATTTTTAACTTGTAAAATTTGATAGGAAACTTCTGTGGATAAAGTTGAGTACTTGATGCATACGTATGGAATATCAGGTCTTGTGTGCAGGTACATCTTTTTATGAAGACTGTGATGTTCCTATCTGTAAAAATATTGTGAGTGTAAAAAGCTTACTTTTGAAAAATTCATTGCCAAGCTTGTGATTGTTTATGAGATTGGGAAAGTATTAATTGGGATTTTGGTGTGAAGTCCCTGAAGTTGAGTACCAGAGGACAAGTACTAGCCCCCTATTTATTATATGCTTATCTGTAAAAAAACATTCAGGAATGATATGGAAAGAGAACAGTGTGTCAATGAAATGACTCTTTCCCATGGTCATCATCTATATGTGTTTGATTTGCCTTTCCAGACTTGGATTGCTCTGGAGACTGCTAAGCATTTTTCCAGTTTGATATGGAATTTTCCCTGACTTGGATTCCTCCTTCTGTCTGTCGTGTGTTAGGGTTTGATAGCAGTTCTTTAAGGATGTTTGATGCCTAAGGCAGAGGATCCTCTATGGCAGTGTGTACATGTATAATTTATTTATTTTAAATTTATCAGATCAGAAAATGGGGCTACAGCTCCCATTGTCTGGTAACTCGTAGTGAATTTAATCATATAAAGCAATGAAAATGGTTAAATTATAGGAGAGAGATTTAAAAAAAAAAAAAAAAAGTCACCACATTTTAATCTCATGTCTCAAGCTGGGCATGGGGAGGCTTAGTCTGGGTATTAGGAAAAATTTCTTCACCAAAAGGTGATCAAGCATTGGAACAGGTGGCCCAGGGAAGTGGTGGAATATGTGTCCCTGGAAGCGTTCAAAAAAACCATTGAGATGAGGCCTTTAATGGCATGGCTTAGTGGTGGTTTTGGCAGTCCTGGGGTAATTGTTGGACTTTATGATCTTAAAGGTCTTTTCCAACCCGGTTAATTCTACAATTCTGTGATCAGGAGAAATGGCCTAAAAATGGAACTTTGAATTATAATACATTGCTACAATTAATGTTGGTTTTGAGGTGGCCAGGAAAATGGGATGAAGTACTATATACAGATAGGGATCTGGCAGAGCTATGTTAATTTCACATCCTGTCTGCCACTCCGGGTGGTTTCTTAAAGTGAAAAACCTAATTTTGGCTTTGGAAAAGGACAGAGAAAACCAGAAAGCTAAGCTGAAGAGATGTTGTTCAGCCTGTGATATTGGGAGAATGATGTTTAAAAGTTGAATCAGGAAAATAAGTAGAAAAATTATATATCACAGATACCTCTGAGAGGAGCATCCTCTATACCTGTCCTATCAGATATTGATAAGGAGGAGGAGATTCTGTCACTGGCAACAAGCAACAAAACCAGAAGTGCTGTTGCAGAGGCAGGCATCTGTAACCCCTGCAGAGCAGGGTGAGCAGCTGTGAGAAGAAAAAAAAAAGCAAAAAAAAAGGGAAAACCAAAGGGGAAAGGAGGGGAGCTCGAGCAGCTCCTGTGTTTGAGCACGGAATGAGTGCTGGGGCAGGCAAACAAGTGGGAACAGACATGTTGATAGACGGGACTGAGGGGTTGTTGAATGTTTTGAAACTGGTGGAGGAGGAATGTCGGGCAAAGGTGGGGGAAGTGGGTTTTTCTCCTATGGGACCGGGTGCTGTGGAGAGTTTTTGCCCTGGGGGAAGAATGCCATGGACAAAGGACCTGGGGAATCTGCCCTAGTAGATCCACTGATTAAATTAAAACTAGAGACCAGAGGAAATAAAGTGGAATTTTAGTGGATACAGGAGCAACTTATTCGGCGCTAATTCAGAGGGAAAAGAATTTGTTACAGATGTGGGAGCTACTGGCCACCAAGGAAAAGAAAAGAAAAAAACCAAAACCAAAAAAATAAAAGGCAAAAGGCACAAATTGGAAAAAAGCAACATTTAAAGAAGGCAAATGGAATTAAAGAGTTAAAATCAATTAATTGCATCCTTATTAGGACAAGAAGCAACATTTGCAAAATGGAATTAAAGAGTTAAAAATTTTGAGTTTATCTTTAATTCAACAGAAAAAGCAAACAGGAGGACCTCCCTGAAATAGAAGAAATCCTTAATGCAGGTGTACCTGGGAATACGGACATCTGAAGTTCCAGGTAAAGCGAAAAATGCTTTGCCTGTTAAAGCAGAAATAAAAAAGGGGGCCTGCCCAATTAGAATAAAACAATAGCCCCTAAAATTGCAGGAAAGGGAATTAAAAAAAAAAAAAAAAAAAAATCATGAATGTGAATTGGAATATAATACTCCTATCTTGCCAGTAAAGAAAAGTTGCAGATTGGTTCAAGATCTCAGAAATCAACAAATTTGTAGAGGATATTCAGTAATAACTAAACCGTATTGAGTAAATCGAATCAGAAATGGTTTGCCGTCTTGGATTTAAAGGACTCTTTCTTTTGTTTACCATTCAGAATTTATTTGCTTCCGAATGGGAACATCCTGACACAGTAAGGAAAACCCAATTAACGTGGACAGCATTATCTCAAATCAGTTAACACTGGAATTAGGATCATGAAACCACCCACTCAGACAGGGACTCTGTTACAATATGTGGATGACCTATTGCCACAGAAACAAAGGAAAAATGTGTCCAGTGAATGGTGGAATTATTGAATTTTCTGGGACTGAATGGTTATTGGGTAACCAGACAAAAGGCCCAACTAATCCAAACCCGAGTTTCCTACCTAGGATGACAGAGAAAACTTGGAACTGCTAGAAAAGAAGCCATTTGTCAAGCTCCACGACTGACAACCATCAAGGAGCTCCAGACGTTCCTGGGAATGACTGGATGATGCAGACTTTGGATGCATGATTATGGTGTTCTGGTAAGACCCCTATATGAACTGTTAAAAGAAACCCCTCTCTCTTTGGAATGGACTGATTCAGCAGAGGAGGGCTTTAGAAATTTAAAAGCAGAGCTAATGAGAGCTGCAGCTCTGACTTCTGGATGTGACTAAACCCTTTTGGCTATATTCCTATGAAGAACAGGGAATAGCTTTGGTGGTCCTTACTCAGAAACTGGGACCCTGTAAGAGAACAGTAGTGTAATATTCAAAACAGCTGAATGAAGTGAGCAAAGGATGGCCCGGATGCCTACGAGCTGTGACAGCAGTTGTCATGAATATTGAAGAGGCCCGCTTATTTACCTTGGGACAAAAATTACTGTACTAGTGTCCTGTGTTGTATCAGCATTCCTGGAACAGAAAGAAGCCCACTGGTTCTAAATATGCATTTGGTGTGGTCCATGCACATGGTGCCATCTGGAAAGAACGAGGACCTTTGAACACACAGACGACTACTGAGAGCTGTTCAGCTACCTGAGGAAGTAGCTATTATGTGTTGTCAAGGATATCAACAAGATGAAATTTGGCTGATTTTAACAATCTAAACTCATTCCCTTAATCCCTGATGGCAAACTAAGAACTGAGAAATCTAAACCTAGAAAATCAAAGGAGGGTAGAAAATTTATTGAAGATCTCAGAGGAGGAGAGGAAAACAAAGAAGATTGGGTTCAGATACCTGATGGGTGAATTATAATCCCCTATAACCAACTCTGGACGGTAGTTCAGGAGGAACATAATAAAACTCATTGAGATGAAGGAAGGAGATAGCAAGTCTTTATATCATATGAACAAATTGAAGGAAGGAATTATATATCATAGCTCAATTAGACAAATAATTTTTTTTTACCAATATTTGTTGGTGTTAACGAATACTTTTTTTGGGTGGCCAGAAGCATTCCCTTGTAGGTTTTGGAGTACCAGAGGCTATCCTATGTAAAAGTTTTATGTGGAAGACCATATCGGTCCCAGTTTAAAGGAGAAAGTCTTCTGGAAGTGGGAGAAGTTTATCTCCTAAAATTTCTGGTCAATCTGGGAAAACAACCTGCTTGCAAGAATAAAGAAAGCACCAGAACCAGAGAACACATGGCGGATTGAACCTTCAGGACCCTCGCATATGAAATTATATCAGTCATAATTTGGATTTATGTGATAACTGACATACCATCTTGGGTCTAATACTTATACCTGAAATTAATGCAGAATGTTACTAAAGTTGTTAATTGTAGTGACTGTTGGGTGTGTGCACAGTTGCCTGAATCAGAAGAAGATCAGGGCCTTCCTGAAACAGATAAATATGTATTACACCAGGATGTTTATTTAAATACCACAGGTGTAAGTCACTATTCAAATTGTATAGATGGTATCGTGGTTCAGTGATAGCTTGATTCCTGAAGGGAAAGGATGGTAGCAGGCCCTGAAGGAGCCCTGAAGGAGCAGGTGGCCCAGACAGAAGCCACCAGGTTGGAGCAGACTGAACTGGAGAAGCTGCGCCTGCTCCTCCAGAAGGGAGGTGGGAGCTCTGGCTGGGAGGCTTGTGGTGGGGGGGTGTTTGAAATGCTGGGTCTGGAGCTGGTTGTGCTCAGAGCCTGGCGCGTAGGGTGAGACCCTTTCACTGACAGTGTGTCCCCTTGTACCATGTTCTTCTAGGCCAGGAGAGCGTTGCCGATGTGCTGGGTGACCTCCAGGCCCAGGTGTCATCCCTGCAGGGCCTGGCCAGTGACCTGCAGGGCTTGTCCAGGGAGCTGCAGGGAGAGAAGGGGAAGGTAAGGAGGCCCCGAGGGAGATGCAGGGGTGCTGGCAGAGTTGGGCACGGCGGAGGCGGCTGAAGAGCCCCTGTGCTGGGATGACACAGGGGCCATGCCCTGACTCTGCCCCCACTGCCGTTCCCAGATCAGGAAGCTGGAGAGTGCCCTTGGTAAACTGGAGGCGGCCAGAGCCAGCTGGCAAATGGATCTCGGCGACCAACTCAGCCTGCCATTGGGGTAAAAGGACAGGAGGGGATTTCGTTCCCTGTGGGGCTGCAAGGGAGCCCAGGAGGGCTGGGAGCATCCCCTGCTGGGGGGGGTGAGGGATGCCCCCTGAACAACTAAAGCTTGTGAAGACTAAGCCTGCCTGTGCCCCCATCTCGCTGGCCAGGTCCACACTGCAGGAGGTAAAGCAGGACATGAAGGACCTGGCAGAGCATCAGCAAATAAGCAAGGCTGCACTGGATCAGTTGGTGACCCAGATGGGCGAGGAGGGGCAGGAGCAGGTGAGGCGTGGGGGGAGCTCCCACCACCCACTGGCTTTTTGAGGAGGTCCTGGTGGGATTCCCAGACGCATCCCGTGGCTGGCTGGGCCACGGAGCCTCCATGGCACTTGGGATTGTTGGCTGCATCTGTCCCGTCTCAGAGGTGACTCCTCTTCCCCTTCTGCAGCTGGAAGAGGTGAGAGCGATGGCGAGCACGGGGCAGGAGGAAGCAGTATGCCCCACGTGCAGCAGCGACACCAGCATGCGTTTGGCGAAGCTTCTGTGGTGCTATGAGAAGCTGCAGGGTCTGGTGGACTCCCTCATGTCGAGGAAGAAGACGGGCAAGGTGATGCGGCAGCTGCCAGGGAAGAGCCAGGTAGGGAGATGGCAACATGGGGGACTTGGGGAGGGGGCTGCCAGAAGCATGCCCGGCTGTTTGTGCTTCGGTGTTATGTGGGGGAGTTCCTTGCTGCCCCCCATATTATCTTGTAAAGTCTGCAGCACAGAGGGAGATTCAGGCCGTGCTGCAAATGTCCTGCTGGCACTGAGAGCCTATGGCCACTGGCCCAGTAAGCCAGGTCTGTCCCCGTGGGGCAGCCTCCCCACCTTGCCTGCCACTACCTTGTTATTTTCCTCCCTGGAGCAGGACCAGGACCAGGAGGTGCTGAAGCATATCCAGGCTGCCGTCCTGCAGATGCAAGGGGAGTATGAAAAGCTCAACTCTGTCATGGGGAGCCTCCTGGATGACAGTCGCCAGCAGCAGAAAGATATCGAGGTAGATGGCTGAAAGCCCCATGGGCTTAGGGCATCCTCCAGGCAGAGCCCAGGCTGGGGACCACAGGCGATTTGCCCTGTGGAGATTAAGAGTACCTTTCCCAGAGGATTCTTGCGGGGAGTAGAAGCAGGGGTGCTCCTGCCACGATGTCATAGGATGCTTTCTGTGTTGGAAGGGTCTGTTGCGGTCCATAGAGAGGCTGGAGAAGGAGAAGGCAGACAAGGATGACCTGGAGCTGGGAATGGATGAGGTACAACCTCAAGGGGCCTAAGCAGCAGCCGGGGGGGGGGGTCTTGGGCAGGGAGACAAATGCCCCTTCTTCCCTGGGAGGTTGGTGGGAGAGCTGGCCCGGGGAAGGGAGGATTTCTAGCCCAGCTGCAGGTCCCTCTGTCTCCCCCCATGTCCCTTGGGCTGGTAGGACCGACCCCCTGGGGGTGTGATGGGGCGAGTGGGGCCACACAGCCGTGGGAGGAACACAGTGGTCCTGCAGGAGTGCTTTTGCCTCTGCCCCTGCAATGAGCTGACCCTGGCTGTTGCACCTCCATCCTTTCCCCACCGTTCTCCTGCCTTTCCCTGTTGCTAGAAAGCAGACAAAGGCGCCTTGAAAGCAAAGTCAGCCGCACCCAATTTGAGGCGAGCCTGGAGCTGCTGAACAAGAGAAACCAGGAGGTGCTGAGCCGGGTGACAGGCCAGGAGCAGGGGCTGCACGAGGTCCAGCAGCAGCTGCGGGAGGAGATGGCCTCCAAGGTGAGGGGCGGCTCATCACCGCTGGGCAAAAATGGCACCTTCGGGGCTTGGTGGCCCAAGGCAGCATCCTCCTGAGGATTCCTGCTCCTGGCTTTTCTGTGAGGATGCAGTGTCCCATCCCGGGGCGGCTGGCTGAGGGAGTGTGTCTGTCTGCAGCTGGATCGCCTGGAGCTGGGGCCATTCCAGCAACAGCTGGATGAATGCTGGAAGGGCAGCCTCAAGCAGCTCAAGGAAATGGCACCACCAATGGAAGCTGACGATGCAGCTGGGATTAGGAAGTGAGTGCAATAGAGACAGCACTCGCCTTGTTCCCGCTTTGTCCTTGACTGCATCCCCTGTTCCCACGGTGCTCTGGGTGCCTGTGGCAGTGGTTCCCATGGCTTTGGAGGTTCTTGGGCGCTCCCCTCTGCGGATACTCCTGTGCCCAAGATGAGGTGGAGCTTTTTCCCAGGCGGGAGCCCACAACCAACCACTCTCCCTCATCCTATCCCCTTTCTTCTGTAACCAGCCAGCAGGCTGGGACCTTGTTGGTGTTGCGGGGGATAAACCAGGCTCAAAACCGGGTTTCCCAACTCACCCGGCCCTTTCTCCCCTCCCCAGGCAGCTGCTGTTGGATTTCCAGTGCCTGTCTTGTGACAGGCAACTCAGCATGCGGATGCCTGGCTCGTGAGTACCACCCAGCACAGGCACATCAGGAGTCTGCATGTGTGGGATGGGGGGAGGTGGGTGCTAGTGATGCTCCAGACGAGGCATGGGGTTCGGGGTGTCTGCCTGCGAGGGTCCGGTGGTGCCCAGCACCCTCCACAGGCCTGCCCATCAGCGGGAGGATTAGGACCCCTCCCTGAGGGCAGCGGTCAGGGGATGCCGTGAGGTACAAACCTGAGGCGGTTGGGGTGCTGCCACGAGCCCAGGTGGGTCATTTGTCCCCTATCACCCGCTGATGGCTCTTGCCCTCCCCAGGCCTATCCCGCCCATCCCGTCCTTTCCACCGCTGGTCCCTCACGTCACTGGGCAGTCCCACCCCATTCGGAAGACGGAGGAAAATCCACAGGTAGGGGACACGGACCCATCCCCATCCCTGGGGTGCACGATGGCCCTGCCCCAGCAAGGGAGAGTCCTTCCCTGCGTCGGGGTAAAGGGCTTTGCTCCCTGGGCAGGGCAGGGGAGCAGAGATGTGCCACAGAGGCTCAGCCGTGCTTGCCCCAGGCCTGGGGCTTTTACAGCCTCGCCACTGTGCCGCCCTGTCTCTCTCTCAGTGGCGCTGAAGCCGCATGTGCTGAGTTGTGTGTTGAGTGTTCCCATACCCTATCCCGCAGGGAGCAGATGGCTGCATGCAGGTACCCCACCGTGCCACGGCAGTGTGGGGGCCAGCGTACCCTCACACACCCGCTGCAGCGCAGCCTGTGCCTCCAGCCGGTCCACCCCAGCACCCCACAGACACTCCAGCCACTCACCCTGCTCCCCAGCAAGGCAGAGATGAAGAAAGAAGGGATCTGGTGCAGGTGACTGAGATTGGGAGGGTGATGCTGAGCATCTGGGGGGGGGGGGGGGTCCATGCCTCAGTTTCCCTAGGAGAGCTGGGTATAGAGGGTTGCTTGGGGATGCTGAATTCAGCCCCAAGCTTTAGCCAACCCATTCTCTCCTCCCCAGCACGACAAGATGGCTGGCCCCTGTCCCTCAGACCCAGGCTCCACTGGCCCACTGGAACACACGTCAGCTTCAATCCACAGCCACCTTCTCCAGGTACACCAGCCCCAGCCGCCCCTCCAGCCCCGCAGGACGGATGCAGCATCTCGGCACTGCTTCAGTTTTCTGAGAGGGATATGTACAGTGTAAGTTAATATTCAGGGATCTTTCTACGGTGCCTGGAAGGAGAAATGCACATTGGAGGAGGGATTCCTCCGCCAAAAATATAAAAAAATATAATAATATAATATAATATAATATAATATAATATAATATAATATAATATAATATAATATAAATAGTGCCGGAGAGTAGGGGCTAACAATCTATTTCCTGGAGGTATCCTGAGCAATTTCTCAAGTGTTGGCTGGCTCAGCCCTCATCATGTCTCCACACACAAGTGCATTCACATGACTCTGACACTGGTCAGCAGCGGCATGTACGGGAGGAAAAATTCCAGCTGTCCTCTTGCTTTGCAGCTTTCATACCACTGAAAGGTTCACGGGGGCAAGTGCCTTCCTGATCTTCAAATACATGGGCAAAATGTGGGGTACACTCCATTGAAACTTGGAGCTGGAGGAAGGCTGAACAGCCACTGGCATCTGCTCTCAGCGAGGCCGGATGCGTGAGAGTTGCAGCGTGTTCTCTAGCCCTAGAGCTGCTCTGTAACCGTACATTTGGGAAGTGGGAGGAGCTCCTTCATGTCCATGGGCCCGTATGTCACTGTCACTCTCCATGTCACTGTCACTCTCCATTTTAACTTCTCAGGTTGCACAGCTATCTCCCAGTCTCGATTCCTGCATTTATCTCTGCAGCACGAATGCGCTCTAGGAGCCAAATTAATATCCTTGCTCTTGTATCCTTGCTCTTCTCTCTTCCTTCTCATTTTCTTTGCTCTCAAAGAAGGGATCCCTCTGTTCTCTACTACCGATTCTCAGGTGCCGATCACTGGTCAGATGGTGCTGCCACTGCATGGGCAAATACGAAAAATGGGTGGCAGGAGATTTCTTCCACTGAGGTCTGTTCGGGCCTGCAGGGAGATGCATTGTCCTGGGAAACATGTTCACACTGTCGTGCCCAACAGACGGTCCAGCTGGTCCCTCCCCAGCCTCCACCTGCCCCTTCAATGGCCTCCTGAAGTGAGCCCCTTCTTACTTGCTAGGTGTCTTCTGCTTAGAGTCGTGCTCTGGCCAGTTCAGCTATTTGAGATCCTGCAAGATCCTGCAACTTCTCCTGAATGACCTAGTGTCTTATTAGGTGTATCTGCCTCTGTGCTTCTTTTATAGGGTGTCTTACTTAACTTTCTAGATGATGAGGTGTTTTAGTCTACATGCCATGTCTTGCTGCTTTAAGCAGCCCTGCAGGAGGGAGGTGTCGGTTCTCTGGCATGGTCGGACCTGGAGGTTTCTGCGGGAAAAGATGTTCTTGAGGATTCTTTCTGTCAGTACTTGTCTGATGGGTGACTCTGCTTCCAAGATGTTTTGGAGTCCTCTCCTTCCTCGGGTTGTGTGGAAGCTTGTGTCTGCCTGTGCTGCTTTTTCCTGCTTGTGCAGCTCTTTGTTTGCTCAAAATGGGTGTGGTGATGCTGAGCAGAGGTGCTCAAAATGGCTTTTGCGTAGCTCTGCCGTCCTGATGCTGTCTGGCAAGGAGAACTGCGGGACGGGAGAGGGTCGCGGGGCGTCGCCTGGCAACGGGTGTTTTCGTCAGCGGTGCCCTCTGTGAGTTCAGGAACGGGCTCGGCCAATGGGCATCGAGGAGCGGGCGGTGGTGGTCGGTAAAGAGGCGCGGCAGGGCGGGGGGCAGGGTCAGCTGCTGCAGGTACGGGGCCGGGGGCTCGGGGGGGCGGCGGCGGGGAAGGGGCCGGGGCCGCCACATCCCTGAGGGAGCAGGAGGCAGGCTGCCGGCTGCCCGCTGTCTCTCCTCCCGCCAGCAGGTCAGACTCGTGTTGTCGGCCATAGCGGCAGCCATGGCTCTGCTGAGCTTGACGCAGCTGCTGGACGCCGCCATCGGGACGCCCGATGTCGCGGCCGTGAACTTCCGAGAGCTGCGCAACCTGCTGCAGGCCATGCTGGCGCACCTGGGCCTGCAGGACCGCTCCAGCCGGGGCTCGCAGCAGCCTGCCGAGCGGGACAGGGCAAGGACCCCGGCCGCGGGGCAGCAGCCGGGTGAGCAGCTGCCTGCGAAGGACCCGCTGCAGGACACCACCTGCGGCTCCGAAACTGCTGTGGCTGCCGACGTGGGGCAGCTGGTGGAGAGGGTGGAAACCGACGAGAGCAGCAGCTCTGAGGTAGAGGCTCTTCCCAGTCCCCTGGGTGCTCCCCCGGTGAGGCGCCTCGTCCTCCACGGGTGGCTCTTTGCCCTTGGCATCAGCTTCAGCGCTCCTGCACAGAGCTCGGCACGGGCAGGCAGGGCTGCATCCAGCCCTGCTGACATGGGTTTGTGTGATGGCTTCCATTGGGGCAGGGTGGGGACCAAGTTCCTGGTCTGTAGGGACCCTCCCGTGGGGCTCATGCCTGCCACCCTCCTCTCCTAGGACACGTCTGCCTACCAGGATCTCTCTGAGGAGATCAGCCAGGTGAAGGAGGCGCAGTCCCGCATGCAAGGAGAAATCCGCATGATCCAGGAGGCGCTTGGCTTGGTGAGCTGCTGCTGGTATCCCCAGGAGGGAGCTGGCCTCTTGTTCCCCTGCCTGCATCACCCCACATCTCCCTGCGGACCCGGTCCTCCGGCCTCGGATGTCACCCAGTGTGAAGGGCACTGGGAGGGAAGAGTGGGAAGGGTGCCCCAAGAGGGAAGCATGGGAGCTCCGCCCACCCTACCTGGAGCCCCGGGGAGGGCAGAAATGGGCAGCACTGCCTGCAGCTCAAGCTGCTGGCAGAGGTAACTGTGTGTGTCCACCCTAGTGGCGCTAAGGTGCTTCTTAACTAAACACCCATGAAAGTACCATGGGTGCTGGGAAAGAGGGTCAAGATCTAATGGTACAATACAGCAGCAGCCCCCCGGCACAAGCCTGCCCAGCGCCCGTCTGTCTAGCGCCCAAGTTAATTTGCAGGTGCTACTGTTCAGTCCTGCTCCTGTGTCCTGACTGCCGTGCCTCTCTTCGCCCCACTGTGGGGGAACCTCCAGGATGCTGCCGGCCGGCTGCCAGGCCTCGGCAACCTAAGGGCTCTGGCCAGTAATGTGGTATGTTTATGAGCACGCCGGATCCCGCTACAGGACAGGAGATGGCTGCATCCCTGGGGGACCAGTGCAGGCGGTCCCTCTGCACTAGGGCATGGTCCCCAGCAGTGCTGGGTGTGAGGGGGAGTGCTGGGGTGGGCCCCACCATGCCCCTGGCTGCATGGCTGGGGTAAGCCCTTGAACCCTTCATTCCCCAGCAAATGCTGAAGAAAAGGCTGGGCCTGTACCCGAACCCAGAGGAGGTCAACAGCATGGTGCACTGGGACGTGCTGGAGGATTGCCTGGTGGGCAGCAAAAGAGAACGAGGTAGAGATGGAGGAAGACCCAGAGGAAAACAAGGAAACCAGTCTGCCACCACCAGGTCTCCCACTTCAGATGTGGATACCCCAGAAGGGGCAAGCTCAGTGCTGGGATCTAGAGAGAGCTCAGTGGGGCTGAAGGATCCAGGGACAGCTGTAACGGCCCCTAAGCAGCTGGCAGGAGTTCCCTCACATCAGAGGAGGGATGCTAGCACCAGTGTGATGACGCAGACAGCGTCTCAGGACATGCAGACCACCGGCCTGGGGACACAGCCAGCACAGCCGGAGTCCACGGGCACGCAGACCAGCAGCCTGGGGACACAGCCAGCACAGCCAGAGTCCACGGGCACGCAGACCAGCAGCCTGGGGACACAGCCAGCACAGCCGGAGTCCACGGGCACGCAGACCAGCAGCCTGGGGACACAGCCAGCACAGCCGGAGTCCACGGGCACACAGACCAGCAGCCTGGGGACACAGCCAACACAGCCAGAGTCCACGGGCACGCAGATCACCAGCCCTGGGACACAGCTGGAGTCCACCGTCCCTCAGACCACCATCTCAGGGGAGCGGCTCAACACACAGCTTCACCAGGCTGGCCCCCTGGCAGCAGGGACTCTCTTGCCGACAGCCCAGGGATTTGAGATCCCACTCGATGCTGATCCCAGGGCCACGTCCCACGTGCAAGAGCTGGCCTTGCCCTCGGGCTCCAGCAGTGCCTACCACAATGCCTGTAAGTGCTACGTGGAGACGGTGGAGGCTCTCAAGCAGATTGGGCAGCTGAGACACCTCTACGCTGCCCTGAAGGAGCAGGTGGCCCAGATAGAAGCCACCAGGTTGGAGCAGACTGAACTGGAGAAGCTGCGCCTGCTCCTCCAGAAGGGAGGTGGGAGCTCTGGCTGGGAGGCTTGTGGTGGGGGGGTGTTTGAAATGCTGGGTCTGGAGCTGGTTGTGCTCAGAGCCTGGCGCGTAGGGTGAGACCCTTTCACTGACAGTGTGTCCCCTTGTACCATGTTCTTCTAGGCCAGGAGAGCGTTGCCGATGTGCTGGGTGACCTCCAGGCCCAGGTGTCATCCCTGCAGGGCCTGGCCAGTGACCTGCAGGGCTTGTCCAGGGAGCTGCAGGGAGAGAAGGGGAAGGTAAGGAGGCCCCGAGGGAGATGCAGGGGTGCTGGCAGAGTTGGGCACGGCGGAGGCAGCTGAAGAGCCCCTGTGCTGGGATGACACAGGGGCCATGCCCTGACTCTGCCCCCACTGCCGTTCCCAGATCAGGAAGCTGGAGAGTGCCCTTGGTAAACTGGAGGCGGCCAGAGCCAGCTGGCAAATGGATCTCGGCGACCAACTCAGCCTGCCATTGGGGTAAAAGGACAGGAGGGGATTTCGTTCCCTGTGGGGCTGCAAGGGAGCCCAGGAGGGCTGGGAGCATCCCCTGCTGGGGGGGGTGAGGGATGCCCCCTGAACAACTAAAGCTTGTGAAGACTAAGCCTGCCTGTGCCCCCATCTCGCTGGCCAGGTCCACACTGCAGGAGGTAAAGCAGGACATGAAGGACCTGGCAGAGCATCAGCAAATAAGCAAGGCTGCACTGGATCAGTTGGTGACCCAGATGGGCGAGGAGGGGCAGGAGCAGGTGAGGCGTGGGGGGAGCTCCCACCACCCGCTGGCTCTTTGAGGAGGTCCTGGTGGGATTCCCAGACGCATCCCGTGGCTGGCTGGGCCACGGAGCCTCCATGGCACTTGGGATTGTTGGCTGCATCTGTCCCGTCTCAGAGGTGACTCCTCTTCCCCTTCTGCAGCTGGAAGAGGTGAGAGCGATGGCGAGCACGGGGCAGGAGGAAGCAGTATGCCCCACGTGCAGCAGCGACACCAGCATGCGTTTGGCGAAGCTTCTGTGGTGCTATGAGAAGCTGCAGGGTCTGGTGGACTCCCTCATGTCGAGGAAGAAGACGGGCAAGGTGATGTGGCAGCTGCCAGGGAAGAGCCAGGTAGGGAGATGGCAACATGGGGGACTTGGGAGGGGGCTGCCAGAAGCATGCCCGGCTGTTTGTGCTTTGGTGTTATGTGGGGGAGTTCCTTGCTGCCCCCCATATTATCTTGTAAAGACTGCAGCATAGAGGGAGATTCAGGCCGTGCTGCAAATGTCCTGCTGGCACTGAGAGCCTATGGCCACTGGCCCAGTAAGCCAGGTCTGTCCCCGTGGGGCAGCCTCCCCACCTTGCCTGCCACTACCTTGTTATTTTCCTCCCTGGAGCAGGACCAGGACCAGGACCAGGAGGTCCTGAAGCACATCCAGGCTGCCATCCTGCAGATGCAAGGGGAGTATGAAAAGCTCAACTCTGTCATGGGGAGCCTTCTGGATGACAGTCGCCAGCAGCAGAAAGGTATTGAGGTAGATGGCTGAAAGCCCCATGGGCTTAGAGCATCCTCCAGGCAGAGCCCAGGCTGGGGACCACAGGCGATTTGCCCTGTGGAGATTAAGAGTACCTTTCCCAGAGGATTCTTGCAGGGGGTAGAAGCAGGGGTGCTCCTGCCACGATATCATAGGATGCTTTCTGTGTTGGAAGGGTCTGTTGCAGTCCATGGAGAGGCTGGAGAAGGAGAAGGCAGACAAGGACGACCTGGAGCTGGGAATGGATGAGGTACAACCTCAAGGGGCCTAAGCAGCAGCCAGGGGGGTCCTGGGCAGGGAGACAAATGCCCCTTCTTCCCTGGGAGGTTGGTGGGAGAACTGGCCCGGGGGAGGGAGGATTTCTAGCCCAGCTGCAGGTCCCTCCGTCTCCCCCCATGTCCCTTGGGCTGGTAGGACCGACCCCCTGGGGGTGTGACGGGGCGAGTGGGGCCACACAGCCGTGGGAGGAACACAGTGGTCCTGCAGGAGTGCTTTTGCCTCTGCCCCTGCAATGAGCTGACCCTGGCTGTTGCACCTCCGTCCTTTCCCCACCGTTCTCCTGCCTTTCCCTGTTGCTAGAAAGCAGACAAAGACGCCTTGGAAAGCAAAGTCAGCCGCACCCAATTTGAGGCGAGCCTGGAGCTGCTGAACAAGAGAAACCAGGAGGTGCTGAGCCGGGTGACAGGCCAGGAGCAGGGGCTGCACGAGGTCCAGCAGCAGCTGCGGGAGGAGATGGCCTCCAAGGTGAGGGGCGGCTCATCACCGCTGGGCAAAAATGGCACCTTCGGGGCTTGGTGGCCCAAGGCAGCATCCTCCTGAGGATTCCTGCTCCTGGCTTTTCTGTGAGGATGCAGCGTCCCATCCCGGGGCGGCTGGCTGAGGGAGTGTGTCTGTCTGCAGCTGGATCGCCTGGAGCTGGGGCCATTCCAGCAACAGCTGGATGAATGCTGGAAGGGCAGCCTCGAGCAGCTCAAGGAAATGGCACCACCAATGGAAGCTGATGATGCAGCTGGGATTAGGAAGTGAGTGCAATAGGGACAAACCAAAAATTGTCTTCGATGTAGTATTTGTCTGCTTAGCAACTCAGCCCGCTTTGTTGAGCCAAGGCCCCGGCTTAAGCACTTACAGTGATTTAGCGTATTATGATTGGATACATGTTTTGAAGACCCTTAGTGACTAACATATAATTGGTTAAAGACTCGTGTGAGAACTCTACCTTGAAAGCTTGCCAACAGTCCACAGTTCTTATTAACTTGGTGAATTCCAGCCTCTTATCTTGCTTGCTTAAGCTTCTTCAGGCCTCCCATGGCCTTGCTGTATCTTTCAGGACTATTCAAGGTTTATGTACCAATTATGCATTCTCCCGTGAGAACACGGTCTCCACATCTCCCCCCTTTTGTTTTATCCAGTAGCAAGTCGCTACTACAGCAAGGCACACACACATTTACATTAGCAGAGTAACTATTACAGGGTGCAGCAGCATGTTGAAGATGCTGATGGCAGTGAGGGACTAGCCAAAGAAATTTCTTACCAGTGGAATTCTCCCCCCCTCTTAATTTGTTCTATCACCTGCTTTATAACACTACCATTGTATTAAAATCTTTCTAGCTTTTGCCTTAGCATCTTCTAGCAGCTACTGCAAATTTCCATACTCTAACATCTCTTTTACAAGTGACAAATCTATACAAGGTGCAGTTTCTTACTGGCAACTAGCTAGTAAATACAGGTGGTTTTATACACAAAATCACCATCTCTAATAATAGCTACTTTACAAGCACACATATTCCGGATGTTACTTTTCAGTTGTCCCCAAGTGATGTTTTGCAGTTAATCGTTTTTTCTCTTCCTCTATCTCATTCTGCCTGGGGTATTCACGGTCAGCTCCTGTAGCTGAGGCATCAGATTTTTCCATTCGTCTGTCCAGCTCATGGCAAAGCTTCACAAACTTTGCAGACAGTCGCCATGGACCTGTAGGCAGTCGGACACAAATATACCCCCTCCCCCAGGTTATCAGTTCTTCAGTTCTTGAGAAGTAGACAGGTTAAATGCAGCATCATTACTCTCTCGCCCCCCCCCCCCCCCGTTTTTTTTTTTCATCCCTGCAAAAGCCGTCCTGCTGGGCAGCAACTATAGGGGCCTGCCTGCTTCAGCAGCAACCATAAATACCCGCCGGCAACCGCACCTTTACGTTAACCCTTTCATGCCCGAAACGTTAAACAGCTACCCGTTGAAAGCTTTTACATGAACCCAACAATACACAGAACACCGTCTGCCCTCAGCACACACACACACACGTATGGGATCCCACAAGCACACGCCACACAACTACAATGTTTGAAGCACAAAATCCAGACAATCATTACTCCCACTACAGTTCCACGTACAGAATGTGGCACAAGGACCCTGTGGAGACTAACAGCAAACCAGCTCCGAGAAGCATCATTGCAGTGCGAGGTGGCAGGCTCAACCTTAGCAGGCGTCCCCGCAGAGGCTCTGCCTCCCCCACATTGTATGAGGCTTGGGCTTTTATACTGACCAAAATGCACACTCATTCTGACACAGGTGGCCAGCCTGTGCTAGAAGAAGTGACCAGCAGTATCTACAAAGGTCTCCAAGGTTTGATAGAAACCTGGACATACTTACATTTACCAACTTCTACTACATGAGTATCACAGAAACTGTATGGGCTCCCCCTGTCAATTGCAAGAAAAAATCATACAGCTTGAGTGTAAGAGCATTTTAACGCATACGTGGTCACTGTTTGCCAGGCCTCCTTAACTATTTTGAGATCAAGAGCTTCCCACTCTTTAGCCCCCTGCTGTGTAGTAAACACAGGATATGCAAAGATGCCCATTGTAGAAAATTCCCCAGTAATGATCACGTATTTGGTTACCCATTGTTACAACTGAGCGTCTCCAGGGCCAGTGAGTCTGAGCAGACCGACCCGGGAGACGAAGAGTCAGAGTGTGGAAGCAGATATAAATCTGGCTCGGATTCAGGGGATTCGGGGGCTGATGCTGGGTCGAACTCAGGGTCTCCGTTGCTCGCAGCTGTGTCTTTCTTATCAGATGTCTCTCGTTCGGTATGTAGCCATCTGCAGACCTGGCTCCTGCGTAACTGAGTTAAAAATTTCCACTCTAGGGCATAGTGGGTTGGAGAGGCTCGCGGTTCCTTTAAATCTCCCGCTAGCGCATGATCTCTATTTTCTACTGCGTGCTTCAAAATGGCGCCGCAATCGATCCGGCGCCGAAGCACCGCCCTCTTTTTTTCGGGTTCCTCAACATCTATCATGCGTATCCCTTCTAATATGCTTTCTCTGTCCTTTTTAAAGTCCCTACTTTCGGAACTGGGGTGGTGGGGGAGCAGGGGGTTACACCTCCTCCGCGGCATCTTCTGATGGAGGGGGAGAAATGGGGGGGAACCCTGTGCTCCCGCAAGTTGGGGGAAACGAGTTATAATCTTCCCCCGGTTTCAACCGACGGGGGACGTCTGTTCCTAGTTTCTCCGTTGCTACCGCGGCAGTTTTCCGCCTTGTATCTTTTTATACAGTTTATTACTTCTCTCCGTGGTTTACAGAGTTTCTTTGCCGTTTTATCATCATTAAGCATTGAGTCAAATAGTTCATCGTTATCAATAGTGTAGCCGATTTTGGTTTAAAGTTTTATTAAACTGAGTAAGCGATAGCAGATAAAACAGCGCCGGGTGCACCTGTGAGTCCTCTGCTCCGCCCAAGACGCGCACAGGCGGTCCCTGGGAGGTGGTCCTTTATCTTTTTCGGTTCAAGGTCCCAGCCAATCCTGTCGCCCCTCCTCACTCGGATGTTGACATGGCTCTTCCCCATTGGTTCCCTTTGTTGCGGGGGGGGGGGGGGGGTCTCATTACCGAGAAGCTCCCAGAGGCTTCGAGAAGCGTCCACTGCCAGCCTCCTCCCCGTCACAGCCCCCTCCCCTCAGGCGTTGCAGCAAGACCCCACTTCGAGCCACCCAGCCCTCTTTTCTCTCTCACAATCCTGTGCAGCAATACAACTGCCCCCCCCCCCCCCATTACTTACAGAGTACAACAGTTACAGAGTCAAAAAGGAGTATTGTTTCACATAATGACAGCCACAGAGAGCCTTCCTCCCCCCAAACTTCTTGATGAACAAACCCCACACATTACAATTCCCCCCTTTTTCTTTTCATCATTTTTGTTCATCAAATCGTTGTAACGCATCTTGGCTTAACAGCAATGAATTTTCTTGTTCTACAGGTTCATATTTCGTTCCTATCAGCATTAGGTGAGCTGCTTCGAGTCTCCCTCGTGCAATTTCTAATATTTTATTAAAAATACGTGGTCCAAATGTTAATCCCAATATAATTGATATCAGGGTGATGCGCGGATTGACTCCACAACTCATTAAAAGTTGTAAAGTAGGTATGCTTTTTATTCAGCGCTGAGACACACGGGGATAATTCCTCAAAGTCATGTGTACCTCAGTGTTGTTTCCCTCTACGTTTATTCTCTAAAGTTATATATATTCATAAGGTTGCACAACACACCTATACATATTCATGTCCTATATCCGCTTCGTATTATAATGAGCCAGAAGGTCTTCTGCGCCTGCACAGTGCCCCCTCTGGTCATGGGCAGGGGTCTCAAGATGAAGTAAATGAGCCTTCCTCCTGTGGGTAGGGGTCTTCAAGATGAAGTAAATGAGTCTTCCTCTTCTTGCACTTTTCACCTTTTTTAGTCTTTACGTGTGGCCTTAGAGTTTGGTCAGTGTCCCAGCTGTAAATCCTCTGCTTCTCCCCTTTATCAGTAGATTCAGGCGTCTGCTTATCAACAGGACCGGAGGTCTCTGTTCTGCTTAGCAGGCATTTACAACAGATAGTCTTTTTGTTTAAACAAGCAAATTCCTCTAACCCCCTTGTACAACCCCCTTGTACAACTCCCTGTACTACCCCCCCTGTACATTGGTCAACCCTCTGTATCAAGGGGACCTGCTATTGTTGGCAGTAAGGTTGTAAGCCAGGAGGATTGACTAAACCAAGATTCATACCAGCTGCGTTGTGCCTCTCGTTCTTTTCGTCTTTTTTCCAATCCTTCTCGTAATTTGGTCATAGTATCCCGTACCACCCCTGTGTGATCTGCGTATACACAGCACTCTTTCTTAAGTGCTGCACATACCCCTCCTTGTTGTAAATACATTAAATCTAGTCCTCTTCGGTTTTGTAAGACCACTTCTGACAGCGATCTAACGGATTTTTCTAAGGCCGTTATTGATTGTTCAATTCTTACCAGGTCCTCGTCTACTGCTATCCTCAGTGCTTTAAATTCTTGGCTTTGTTGTATCAATGAGGTTACTCCTGTGCCTACTCCCATGCCCCCCAAGATCATTAAAGTGGCTATTGTTAATGCCGCGAATGTATGCATCATAAATAAAGTTCTCAGGGTGATAAAAAATTTTAGGGACTATTGTTACGTGAATACAAAAGTCTGAGGAGTCATTAAAATGTTTTAACGACAGGCAAGGTGTAACTCCTATAGCAGAGCAAACCCACTTGGTGTTAT